AAGAAACAAAAAATTATTTGGCTCAAGGTTCTGGAGGCTGGAAGTCCAAGATCGAGGGCATCTGGTGAGGGCCTTCTTGTTGCTGTCATAACGTGGTAGAGGGTATCACATGAAAAAAGGGGACCAAACTCCCCCTTTTACAACAAACTCCCTGCATTCCCTTCATGAGAGCAGATCCCTAATTACCTCTTAAAGGTCCCCCCTCTCAATACTGTTGTATTAAAGATTTAATTCCCAACACATGAACCTTGGGAGACACATTCAAACCATAGCAGCCATGTTTCTATAACTGTATTTGTGTGTGGAACAAATTGGTGAATGTATAGATGTTTCCCACAACCGCAGTATGGAAAAAGCATCACTGAATCACATAGAAGAAAAATCATTAATTAAGTAACTTTATGACATACTTGCACAACTATTTACTTGCTCAACTTTTAAACGTAAATACTTTCCTTAGGTTGTCTCGTATCCTTTATTTTTTGTTCCCCGTGTATTGATTGTTCCTTCTCAGACTCCATTTCCTCATCATCTGTGTGCATTAGATAGTCCTCTTAGAAATGTCAGTTAACATGACTTAAACGCTGGACAGAGGTAAATTAGGGTAGGGAAAATGAGAGAGGTCAGATATCAGGCCATGACAATTGTCAAGTGAAAGATATTCAGGCAGGATTAATGCATTGACAGTAGGAATAGAAAAAAAATACATAAATTCACAATTCATTGCTGAGTAAAAATCTATAAGACCACCATACATGCAAAGAAACAGTCAAGAATGCTTTCCAGGTTTCTATTTGGGAGACCACAATATACAATCATTAAATATTTCTTAAATGAGTTATTAAAAAAGAATGTAAAAACAGCCACATTAATATTTTCAGAAATAAAAGAGGATGATATTATACCTGACCTGAGACATTTATTTACACATTCACTGAACAATGTTCATTAGATGGCTAATATTTACTTATGAAAGGTAATGTGCTACTTAGTTTTTTCATATTAAGTCACTATGCTCATCAGAGATACATGTATTCAGCCTGCCTTCCATGACCTTTGTCCTGAGATTTTCAATTTTCTAACCATCCAAATACTATGTGACTAAAACTTGAAATTTTAATTTATCTGTATATATATTCTTAACATTTC